TTTGAACAATAAATTGGAATAAGTGAAAATTCATTTCTTGGGTTTTTGTTTTTCCTTAGTTACTGAGATCGTAAATTTCAGGAATGGGAGCCCTGGCGAAAAAACTCAAAGAACTCCAGGTTCCATATCTGTTTGCTTAATCCTTCGTTTAAATAAATAAAAGTTCTGTTTTGATTCAGCATAAATGGCGAAGGATAAAATTTAGAAATCAAGGAGGTTTTGATAGGAAAAGTTGTAGTCAACTGAAAAAATATCCTGACACTACCAAATCAACAGTCTTCAAAGCTTGACTAAATTCTTAAACTCAGTGGTGTACCAATCTACCTCGTTTATCGGAAGAAGATTTTGGAAGTCTATAAAATTTAGAAGGGAGTTCATTTCCCTGCGTAAATTGCGTGTTGCGAAATCTTGAAAGGAGGCAGATTTACTTTTAATCGAGTACCAGTTAGGGCTAAACATAATGGAAGATGACATTGCAGAACTTTCTATGCAATTTCTCTTCGTTCTTTTGTACTAGATGGTTTCAGCTTTATGAATTACCAGCAAAAAAAAGTCCTGGTCTGAGGAAGAGTTATACGTTTTCGGTGACGACAAATATATGGCCACTGACAGTAAAAGACAATTATCCGATCTACAGATACGATGTGCAAATAGCGTTGCTTTTTGGATCTGCAGAGGAGGGATTGATTTTGAAAAAGAAGGTTCTGACAAAGGATACGAGAGAGGAGTAAGCTTTCAATTTATTATTGCGCAGGTGCTGTTTAAATTGTGTTGCTTTATGCGTCTTTTAACAGTGAACTTAATTGAGGAAGTATATACAGAAATTTCTGGTGGTGTTTTTCGATTTTAAAGTGATGTTAGATCAAATGTTTTATCTTTTCTTACATATGTAAGTTGCGTCAGTTCTGCATGGGATATATAAATAAAGAAGTAGCGGAAATTACTTAAAAGTTATTCAAAATTATTTCTAGCTATTTGTCAGTGGACCGTAAAACTAAATGCCTGGCCATCGTAGAAGGTCTAATACAGGAGAACGCAAAATTTTTTGTTGGGAAAGGTTGTCTAGTTTATGACCGTGTCTCGACCCTATATTCTTCTAGAAAGCTCAACATAATGCAGCAGGAAGTAGTTTTATATATTTAATCATTATCAATCAAAGTTACCCGCAGGTGATTAATTAAGAGTAATTTTGAACAATCTTCAATCTTAATGAGACCACAATTTGTAGACACTGTGGCCGTACTCTGTGGTAGTATTTGACCTTAATAATGATTGCTGTATTAGTAACTGGATTTCTTTTCAGGAGAAAACGTTTATTGTTGAATCAAAGGTTCTTCCGAAAGATTTGTTCGAGGAGGACTGTAATGGTGCTGAAATATGCGTAAGCAATTTCTAGAGCTTCATGTTGACTAAACATTGACGGACTGACTGTTCACCAAAATGTTTATTTTTTGAAAGTTGCCTATTTATGTTCCTGTAAAATATGCACATAAATGATTTACAGATAAAGCAGTGTAAGGAGGGTTTCCAACTGATTTCTAATGATGTGAAGTCTACAGTTAGTTTTTATATAGGCGGAGCCAACAAAAATTTACATCATTTTTTGGAACTGATGTTATCGCAGGAAGTGTTTTATGCTCGGTAGGCTTTAAGATTTACTTGTATGTAGCCTTAAGCAAAGATAACTAAATTGCTTTGGCACATCTCTGGAACAAAAGTTTCTCCAAGTCGTTATTAGGAAGTAGATTTAGGGCGCTGGCGGTCTGCTATGATTCAAGTAATTGTTACCTAATGGATCCAAGTGGATTTGGGTTTAATGATAAAGAAGTTCCAAAACTTTTTGAAGGGAAGTACTGTGGTGTTGGCATTTCGAAGTGCGTTAAAACTATTGACGGGATAGGAAGAACTCCTACACTGGCGGTCGTTGTTGACTGTAAGTCGGCGCTGTCGATGCTTCTTTTCCAGTTGAATAAAATTGGCGTTTATTGGAAATACTCTTTAATAAAGGATTTTTCTTCAAGTTAGCTTACCTATTTAAGAATCTGACTAATCGTAGATTTTGCATTAATTTAAGGGAAATTAGGAAATGTTGTAACTAACATTTTGGTATCTATCGAACATAACGATTCTGAAGAGTGTTAATTTTTGTAATTTCAGTGAAAAAGAGTGCTTTTCATTACGACGGGCAGCCGTTAATCAAAAAAATCGCTGAAATCTTTCGTGTAGAGGTTAAGAGTTCAATAAGTAGAATAGAAATAGAACTACTTAATAAATTGCTGAAAGGTTGGTAATGACTGTGATGTGATTCTGCGCGATTATTGTTGCTTTAATTGAAACAAACTTACGTATGACAATAATACCATTTTATTTTTCGACATCGTATTGCGTAGAGCAAAGCATTTCCTAGTGCTGAAATAGTAATTTACAGGACTATACGTTCGGTGTCGCTATGGGAAGTATAGAACTTTCCGGCTGTTTGAAGTGATGGAGCAGACACCGGACGAAAGGAGGTACGAGTAAAAAGTCCTTAATTGCAGAAGCCACTGTCTGTAGCAAACGCTAACTCAGAGGGTTCAATAGGACTTTTTTTAGTCACTATTATTTTTCAGCTTCATGTACTGCGGAACAACGATAACACTTGTCGAATATTTTGAAAGGGTTTACCATATCACCTTGAATTACCCGAAAATGCCAGTTGTAGTGGAAAAGACCTACAAGAAGGAACTGAACTACTACCCAATAGAGCTTTTAG